ATTAACTTTCCAGTCTAGGAGCGGAGGTCCTTAGGACCATCAATGGAGAAGAGCTGAGAGCGGGACCCTACCCATAGAAGCAGTGATGGCTGAAATGGAGGCAGAGAAGATGACGTGGAGCAATGAAGCAGCTGGGGACTTTACATCCAGAGAGGGAGAGCGACTATGTGCTGAAGACTGAGGGAGGGAGTGGGGGGGCAGGCTTGCAGGGTATACCCTTTGGTTGGTTGATGATGCATGGAGGGGATTGTAACCATGGCAATGAGACGATATAGAATGAATGTAAAACTAATGTTCTCCCATGTAAACTATCACATAATTCACAAAACATTAAAAAAAAAGAAATCAAAAGATGTATTGCATTAGGCAAATCTGCTGCATGACACTGCTTTAGAAGTATTCAATAGCAAAGATATCAGTTTGAGGAGAAAGTTGTGCTTGTCCCAGGTCATGGTATTTTCAATACCCTCATATGCATGTGAAAGTTGGACAATGAATAAGTAAAACCATAGAAGAACTGATGCATTTGAGTTACGGTGTTGTAGGAGAGAGTATTAAAAGTTCCATGGACTGCCAAAAGAGCAAACCAATCTGTGTTGGAAGACATACGGCCAGAATGCTCCTTAGAAGCCAGGATGGCCAGACTTTGTCTCTTATACTTTGGACATATTATCAGGAGAGACCAGTCCCTAGAGAAGGACATCATGTTTGGTAAAGTGGAAGGATGGAGATAAAGGGGAAGACCACCAACAAGATGGACTGGCACAGTGGCAGCAGCAATGCGCTCAGGTGCAGTACTGGACGCTGCTTCGTTCTATTGTGCACAAGGTCTCTATGAGTTGGCACTGACTTGACTGCACCTAACAACTAGGATACTGTAACTTATTACATTTAAAAGTGCCAGGGAACATCCAGGCCATAGCTTATGGTCAAGTGATATTTATGGAGCCCAAGAGAATATTTCATATTTTCATATACAACCCTTTATCTTCTTTTGATTATTACATTTGCCTCGGGGAAATAATGTCTCCTTGAAACGTGTGACTATGAAAAGCCATTTTTAATATGAGAATCTAATGGGAAATATGAATTGATTTTTAAAAATGCACCATAAAGTCAACATTTTCCCAAAGGAGTGTACATCTGCATATTTACAGAAGAGGCATGATGACAGAAAGGTTGTACAAATATAAAACATTAGAAGATAAGAGAACTCTTGGCTAGTTTTCAACATAAAAGAAAACAAAGACAAACCCACTGCTGTTGAATCAATGCCAACTCACAGGGTTTTTCCAGGCTAGAATATAAGCTTTACATAAGTACCTTTCTCCTGAGGAGTAGCTGGTGGGTTCGACCTGCCAACCTTTCAGTTGGCAGCTGAGTGCTTAACCACTGTACCACCAAGGCTCCCTCAATATAACTAATATTTTAGCAAGGGTCTAAAATAGAATAGCCATGGCTTACGGGAATTAAGTAACATCAATGGGTAGGAAGTATAACGGCAGATTGAAAACGGAGCTTCAGGGAAAACAAAACAAACCACTTTATAAAATATGTGGATCACAATAATAACAGTACATTGAATAATTTGCTTTCAGTTTGAATGACATGAAGTTCAAGTCTAGGTCATGGAGATGTATGCAAATTAAATAACTGTAAATATAATACACACTGGCTTAAAATGACACATGCAATTGTTCTATATCTTTTATGTAGGATGAGTGTTTGCCTCCCCCCACCCCCTTGCACAGAGAGGAGCAGAAACCCATGAATTAGAGAGTTTCTAGGAAGACACCACACAGTTTATTTGATAAAAGTACATGTCAGGACAATGACATTGCAATCCACATTGTACTTGAGCTGAGCTTGAAATACAGACAATAATGGACATAGAATGGCTCCCTACCTTCCCATTTCTGGTCAGTTGCACTGCTTTGAAAAAGACAGAAAACTGAACAGCAGATGGGCCTGGGGCTCAGGACCATACTTTCAGGGGACAACTCGGTCAATTGGCAGAACATAGTCTACAAAGTCACCACTCGTCTATCAGTTTGTCGTATTGTGGTGGCATGTGGGTTGCTGTGATTCTGGAAGCTATGCCACGGGTTATTTTAAATACCAGCAGGGTCACCCATGGTGGACAGGATGAGCTTCCAGACAAAGACAGATGAGGAAGAAGGACAGAGGGACTACTTCTGAATATTTAGTCACAGAAAACCTTATGAATAGTAGTGGAACACTGTCAGATAGTAGCAGAATATTGAAACATGATGAAAACCACCTGAATATTGTTAGATATAGTGCTGCAAAATGAGCCCCTCAGATTGGAAGGCACCCAAAATGAGACTAGGGAAGAGCTGCCTCCTCAAAGAAGAGCTGACCTTGATGACGCAAATGAAGTAAAGCTTTCCAGACTTTCATTTGCTGATGGGGTACAACTCAGAATGAAGAGAAACAGCTGTAAGCATCCATTAATAATAGGAACATGGGATGCAGGAAGTAAGAATCTAGGAAAATTGGACATTGTCAAAAATGAAATGGAATGCATAAATATCAATATTCTAGGTATTAGTGAGTTGGAATGAAAAAGTATTGGCCATTTTGAAACTGACAATCACATAGTTTACTAGGCCGTGAATGAGAAATTGAAAAGCAACGGTGTCACATTCATCAGCAAGATTGAATGATGCGCTTTATTGAGTACACAAAGGCTTTTGATTGTGTGGATCATGATAAGCTCTGGACAACATTGTGGAGAATGAGTATTCCCTAACACTTGAGCGTGCTCATGAAGAACCTGAACACAGACCAAGAGGCAGTTTGTTCGAACAGAACAAGGGAACACTAAATGGTTTAAAAATAGGAAAGGTGTGTGCCAGGGTTGTATTCTGTTACCATATTCAATCTAGATGCTGAGCAAATAATCTGAGAAGCTGGATTGTATGAAGAAGATGGTGGTGTCAGGATTTGGTGGAAGATCCATTAACAATATGCATGCAGATGATACAACCTTGCTTGCTGAAAGCGAAGAGGACTTAAAATACTTGATGATGAAGATCAAAGGCCACAGCCTTCAGTATTGGTTGCACCTCAGTGTAAAGGAAACAAAAATCCTCACCACTGAGCATTACTATATGCCAAGCACTGTAATGTGTGTGTATCACACCTACATACATACGTAGTTGTATTTAGCTGCATTATCCTCATTCTAATTCCATTGGTGATTTAGAGACTGGCAAGTGATTAGGCATAAAATAAACTACAAGTTCATATTACTATGCTTTTCTCCTTTATGTGTTTCAGAAATATAATTTTTGTTTTATGATAATTTTTCTTGCTGATAGCATAGTACCTTTGGTTTCTTTCAAAAGAATTAAATTGAGCTTTTTGTTAAGGAAAAAAAAAATCCTCACCACTGGACCAGTAAATAACATCAAGATAAAGGGAGAAAAGAATGAAGTTGTCAAAGATTTCATTTTGCTCAGATCCACCATCAACACTCATGGAAGCAGCAGTTAAGAAATCAAAGGACATACTGCACTGGCAAATCTGCTGCACAAGACCTCTGTGAGTGGATGTTAATAGCAGTTACAAGTAATGTAGCAAACTCTAACTGGAAAATTGCACAAGCCAAGAGCCAATCACCACTTTCAGCCAAATTATGTCATAATTAATTAGTTGGCACTGTCAATCTTTACGGGAGCAGACAGCCTCAGCTTTCTCCCAGGGAGCAGCCCAATGCCTAACCCACAGCATCTCCAGGGCTCCTTAAGCTTATTAAAAAGCCGTCTTCATTTTCTTACTAATATATGAAAACACTCAATAAACTAAACATTGACTTTAGAAACACTTCAAACTCCTGATTTTTAAGAGTATAAAGAATTTTTCAAAGAAATGAGGTTGACTACAACCCGTTAGAGAACATGTTCTTGAAAGCTGGTTCCTGAAAGAAGAGCCCGATTCTTTCCTGGTATGGGCAGTCCAGTGATTGAAGGCATTCCCCTGTGTGAGACTCTCGTGCAAACAGTGTGTTTCTGAAAAAGCTGACAGTGGTTAGTATGCAAAGAACTGCAGTGTAATTGTGGGAAACAGAGAAGGAGGGACACTTCTGGAAAAACAAAAGCAAGTTGACCTTGAGTCAAATGCGCGCTCTCTCTCTCTGAAATTAGTTTTATATACCTTTTCTTTGTTAAGTGCCATCGAGTTGGTTCCAACTCTTAACAACCCTGTAAGGGATTTATATGAGGAATAGCTAGTTGGTGTGAACTGCAAGGCTAGACTGCTCCTTAGAAGCAAGGCTGGTGTGACTTCATCTCTTGTACTTTGGACATATTTTCAGGAGGGACCAGTCCCTGGAGAAGGGAGGAGGGCATTATGTGTGGAAAATCAGAGGGTCAGAGAAAAAAGGAAGACCGCCCCCAATAAGTTGGATTGACACAGTGGCAGTCACAATGGGTTCAAACTAACAACAACTGTGAAGATGCTGCAGGAGGGCCGGGCCGAGTTTCATTCTGTTGTGCATAGGATGGCTATGAGTTAGAATGGACTCAATGGCACCTAACAAACACACCACACCAACACTGTGACACACAGAACAGGGTAGTTTATTACCGATAATTGCTGCAGCAATTGCTTCAGAGAATTGCTTCAAACTCAGTGTGCATTATATCATTTAGCTGCTTTTAAGGGCCACATGAACAAATGTTTAAAATACAGATTGAGACAATTTAAGGTCAGAATTTTCAAAGCCCAGCAAAACCTGTGAAAGTCAGAACCTGAGTTAGGCAGAAACCTGTTTGAAAAGGAAAACTCAAATATTTTCTACTAATAGAGCATGATAGAAAAGTGGTTAGACTGCATTCTATCAAAGGTAGAAAACTGTGAGACCTGGAAAAGTCTGGCAGCCTTTCCCAGTCCCGACATGCACAGGGTTCACTGTGATAGGTTTTACTAAAGGGACCGCAGATCATGTTCTCATTTTCAACCACTCTAATACTTGCCTGCTCATGGATTATGTCCGACAATTCTTTCACCATGTCTCTGAAATTTGACTTTAGCCCTTCATGGTACTCGATTTGATCTTCTTTAATTAGCCGCTCATTTAGTTCAAGTGCAATGCTGCAGGCTTGTATAAATCTCCTATGGATGAACATCAAAGATAAAGGTTTTGTTTCTGACAATTTAATACTTTAATCATGGCTTACCTAGAAGGAAGATTTGTTCTCACTGTGCCTTTGCCAAGGATATATCCTACGTCTGAAATACTTCCACTCTTTTCTTTACTCTCTCTGCCGTTTGGTTTCTTACCCTCTTCAAAACTTACTTTTAAGCACATATCCTCTAGGTAGCCTTTTTACTAAATTCAGCTAAATTTGTGTTAATTGGCACCTGTAGATAATGAGTGATTCATTAAAAATCATTTTGTGTTTCCAGTAGGAACCCTGGTTAGGCTAACTGCATGGTTGTCAGTTCAAACTCACCAGTCGCTCTGTGGAAGAAAGATGAGGCTGTCTGATCCTGTAAAGATTTACAGTCTCATGAACCCTATAATTAGGGTTGTTATGAGTCAGAACCAACTCTTGGCAGTGGATTATTGAGTAACTCAAATGATTAGGCATTCAACTATTAGGCAGTCTGGACCCACCAGAATAGCCTAAGAGAAAATCGGTCTAGAGACTTACTTGGGAAGCCTTGAAAACCCTATGAAGCAGTTCTAGTCTATGCACATGGGGTTGCTAGGAGTAGGAGTCAAAGCCATGGCAATTAACAATGAATGACATGTGCTGAGCAGAAGAGTACTGGGTTCCTATAGGTGTTAAGTCTCTAGAAGAAATTGATGCTCCAAAAAAAAACAAAACAAAACAGAAAGAAACTGATGATCCATCCTAAAAATCGTTTTCCATCATTTCATGTGCTTAATGTCCACAATTAGAGTATAGGTCTTAAGAGACAAAGTACTGCATTGGCCATTTGTTTGAGATTTCTGTCCTAGCAACTAGTAGAGTCCTTTGCACATGCCGGGCATTAATAAATACTGGTGAAGGAATGACTACTAGTTACTCTGCAACATGGAACAGCTGAAAACATGCAGACAGGAAAAGAAAATGAGTGAGTTAGGAGCAAATAAATAAGTGAACAGGTTATCAGATTTCTCCTTAGTTTATTTCACCTGAGTCTGTTGCTCCTTCTGCAAGTAAAATATTTTTAAATATATTAAACAAAATGTGTTTAGTGTAAGAACATTCACACATGCCTTAGTTTACAGGGATGCTCACTGGAGACAAAATATCCCATGCCCTAGACTGGTAGACTCTAAGTAGAAGTATGGACAAAGCAGAGGAGCCAATTTGTGAACCCTCTTCCAGCCCCACTTTTATTTTGACCTGAAAACCACTGAAGGTGAGTTGATTCTGACTCAGTGATCCTATAGGAAAAATAGAATTGCTCCATATGGTTTCTGACACTATAAATCATTACAGAAGCAGACGGATTCATTGTTCTTCTGAGGAGCGACTGGTGGGTTTGAACTGCCAACTTTGTGGTTAGCAACTCAATGCCTAACCCACAGCGCCCCCAGGGTTATTTCTACCCTGCTGTTGTTATTGTTAAGTGCCATCAAGTCGGTTCCGACTCATAGCGATCCTGTATAGGATTTCCGAGGAGCACCTGGTGAGTTTGAACCACTGACCTGCAGTTCAAACTGACCTTGTAGTCCCATGCTTATCCTACAGCGCCATGCCAGGATTCCTTATTTGTTGTTGTTGTTGTTGTTGTTATGTGACTTGGAGTCAGTTCCGACTCACAGCAACCCTGTACAGGGTTTCTGAGGCCGTAAATCTTTACAGGAGCAGAAAGCCTCATCTTTCTCCCCGCATTACAGCTGGTAGTTTCGAACTGCCGACCTTAAGGTTCGCAGCCCGATTCATAACCACTGCACTATGAGAGCTCCTTCCAGAGCTCCTTAGGACTCCTTACAAGTGGTCTGAAATGCTATTACAGTCACTAAGGCACTTAATGAATGCAGGCTTGAGTTCTTGTCACTTAAAATACCACAGCAATAAAGTAAACATATTCAACCTCTTGGATAACTGTTGTTGTTGTTAGCTGCCGTTGATTGAGTCGGTTCTGACTCATAGTGACCCTATCTATATAGGGTTTCCAAGGACAAGCTGGTGGGTTCGAACTGCCAATCTTATGGTTCGCAGTCCAGTGCTGACCTTACAGCGCCACACCAACTAGGGCCTGTTAATGGCCTGAGAAGCATGAAAGAGATCACATAGTTCCTTACTACTTGAAGTACCAGTAGGAGGTCACTGCTTAAATACTGTAAAGGAGCACAAAGTCTTCTAAGAATGTCATTGTGGACTTTTTCTGCCTCCTCAGCTCCAGGTGTGCTCATCTCTGCTGGAGGCAGTGGAATGGAGACTGGTTGTGTGTGTGAGGCCTGCGAGACTTTGGACAGCCAAGCCTCTGGACTAGGGTGCATGGCCGCCCCATGTCCGGTGAGGCAGCTCGGCCCCGGGCTCGGAACATGAAGGAAGTAGCAGCCTAGACTTCCTTGACCACGTTCTTCATGTGGTCTCTGGAGGGCTGGGGCCGGCTCCCAGACTGCTTTTCTTTGCCAGGAAAATGGAGAAACGCTTTTTGTGTATCTTAAGTGTACAGAATATCCACGGCATGAGGCGGGATATATTCATGAATATATGAATTTATTAGTGTAGAAAATGTGCTATTTAGGGGTTAGATCATTACAACACCCTGCCAAAGGTGCGTTCCTTCGGGAGGAAAACGGCTGCTGTCTGGATATCTTTTGCACAAATGACTTAAGAATACCTTTGGTGAGGATTTCAGATTTTTTTATCTTCAGAGGACCTGCTTGGATCATTTACAATTTAAGGAGTCTGCAGAATATTGAAGCTGTTGACTTTTGGAAATCCGTAATTTAGGCGTCTAGAACAATGTGATATGAATAAATTGCTAATTAAAAAAAAAAAAAGGAATGTCTTTGTGATGAGGAGAGTGACTGGGGGTGGGTGGGTTGGGGGGTGAGGGGTACCAGTGGCAGTTTGGTGGTAGAATTCTAGCCTTTCATGTGGGACACCTAGGTTCAATTCTCAGTCAATGCACCTCAAGTGCAGCCATCACCTGTCTGTCAGTGGTGGGGTGTGTGTTGTGGTCATGCGACACAGGCTTGAGCAGAGCATCCAGATTAAGATGGATTTGAAAGAAGGGCCTGGTGATGTACCTCGGAAAACTCAGCCAATGAAAATCCTACGGGTCACAAAGATCTGATCCAAGGGGTCCCATGAGCTGGGAGTCAACTCCACAGCAGCTACCAAGAACATTGTTTGGGAATTGTTTTTTCCTTAAAGAAAAATACGGAGAAAAAAATAGTGTCCTGGTCTAAAGACTTACCTAAACATGTCTTTCAACTCATTCACTTTTTTAGGTGGGTATTTGCTAGCTTGACTGTCATTTAAGAAAGTTCTTGCATATGCTAATGGACCGGCATTGACCTAAATTGTGAAAAGAATAAATAAAAATAAGAGAGTTACCAGAAAGGCAATAAAATTGTTTTCACATTTCTCATGATCAAAAACCAAAACAAAATATCTAGAAGATCCATATCTGAAAAACAGTATTCTAACAAAATTTCATTTAGAAAATCATTAACTAAAGCAGATAATCTGTAGGGAAAACATTCTAATGCATTAGTTAATGATTTCTGTTATATAAATAGATGACTTGGCTACAGTCATATGAACGTATGTCTGAGTCCTTGGACATACATCATTTCTAGAAATTAATTTACATATAATTGCTTTAGTAAGTTAATACAAAGTAAAGCCCTGGGCTTTGCACTCTGTAATATGTAAAGCACAAATAACAACAGAGGCTTGCTACCTGCACCTTCATGCAAGCAAGAGACACATCCAACAATATTCCATACTTGGTTGGTGACCAGCGTACCTGCACAGAAACACAGCCCTGCAATTTCAGTTGGAGCTGAATCATGTCCACGTCAGCACAGGAGCAAAGCTTCTGTAGCTCTGCCGTTTTATCTTTTATTTCGTCAGTAGCAACATCAATTGGTTTTAGATTAATCTGCTGTTCGGAGTTTATAGGGATCCTTTTCTTCACATATGGAAACGAGTTTGATGCTATTAAAAACAATAAGGCTGATTTTACTATCTGAAAAGATCAGGTGTTAAAACAGCCAAATTAAAGAAAAAAACACACAGACATACAAAAACAACTCTTTGTGCTCAGTTCTCCTCATGCTTTCTCTGGAAGATGCCTGAGGGGTACATAGAGTGTCTTCCGGGTATAGAACTGAAGAGAAATTCTCTTTATGAAACACTGATGAGCAATCTCAAATTACATATGGAAAAATGATGGCTTATCACACAGACATGTTTGTGCAAACCAGTGACTGAACCGCACCACAATGACTAAGATTTCAGTTACCTTTTCCTGCGGGCTAGCTGCTACTCATGTGTATGAAAAAGACAAATATGAAGTTGACGTGCAGTCCTACTTACTAGTCACGATTGTTCGGCGTTTACACTGTTCTTCTATGCAACCTTGCTTTTTGCCTGATAAAGTATAGGGAGCCTCAAAAACAAATCTGGTGATATTATGATTTCTTTCAAACTCAGTCTTTCTTTCTGTGAGTTCTTTGTCATCGAAATAGGGCTTCACATAAGTGACTTGGATATAAGCATATTTTGGATCAAGTTCTTTGGCATTTACCTAGGAAATACAAAAGGGTTTTCTGTTTTGTTTTAAGTCAATGAAAGGGAGAAGGGAGTATAATAGTGAAGTATTCTTTCAATATCAATTGAAGAACACTATCATTAAGATTATATCCCCAATTGAATAAACACCTGAAGGAGATCTCTGCTCTTTTTTAAAAACATCTTTTCCTTCTGATTACAAGGAAGTTACAGACACCAATTTGGAGATAACAAGTATATGATGAAAATAAAAGCAGTAATGCTACCACCTAGAATGACCATCATTCACATTTTCATGGATTTCCTTCCAATCTTTTTTTCTCTTCACAAAACTAAACACTGTTCGGTAATTGGATTCCTTAACAATAGATTGGAGAAGTGAAGTCCTAATCCTCACTCCTTCCTCCTAGACCCAGCCCCTCTCCCCCAAATAGATCATAGTTATTAAAGTTCTGTATCATTGCCATTCACATGACTTAAAAAAATGTGATTTGGGTGAAAGCGTATAGAGAAAATCGGTTTTCCATCTGACGGTTCCACCACGTTTTGCTTGATAACACTGGTTGCGATCTCCACAACAGCACTGTTGCCACTTTCCTCCCTGTGTTTACCCTTTCCATTAGCCCTTCCTTACATTCACATGAGTTTTACTGGCTGAATGGATACACAACATTTACTGAATTATTCTTATTATTAACAGACGCAGGGTGGTTTCCAACATTTTGCTATTATAAATAATGCCTCGATGACCATTTTTTGGATTGTTTTTCCCCCCTGAAGATAAATTCCTGGAAGTTACTTAGCAAATGAAGTTGCATCTTTTAAAGTCTTTATATGTAACACCCAATGACCCTACAAAATGGTTTACTAATGTGTACATCCGGAGTCATGGTGTGGCGCTGTGGGTTAATGCACCAGACTGCAAAGCTGTTTGAACTGCAAGGTTGGTGGTTCAAGCTCACCAGCTGCTCCTCGGAAACCCTTTACAGGGTTGCTATGGTTTGGAACCAACTCCACGGCACTTAACAACAACAACAATGTGTACATCCACCAGCAGTGTTTGACATAATGAGGGTGGGTACTTTAGGCTGCATTCTCTGAATCCCATCCTACATTATTCATATGGACGCAGGAGTGTCATGGTCTGCAACTGATATGAGTAAACCTACAAAGTGATAAGATTATGCTCATGGTAGACAATGAAATGCCTTTACCTTTGCCAATGGGCTTTTCACTAGCTCTTGAGTGCATTGAGTAGCACCAAGTACACCAGACTCACTCGCTAGGCTATGCCTATAAATCCTGAACCTATATATCTAGGGCCTGGTGTGGCACTGTAGGATAAGCACTGGACTGCTAACCACAGTATTGGTAGTTCAAACCCACCAGCCACTCCCTGGAAACCCTACACAGGGTTGCTATGATTTGGAACTAACTCGAGGGCACTTGACAACAAGAACACTATAAGTCCTTCCTACCTGATGTGGTGCAGTAGGATCAGCACTGGACTGCAAACCATAAAGGTCGGCAGTTCAAACCCACCAGCCGCTCCTCAGAACCCCAATACAAGGTTACTATGAGTCGGAACCAACTTGATGGCACTTAACAACCTTAAAAATCAGCTCTCATCATGGATACACCCCTAGCAACTAAGGATGGTTAGGTATTCCTATTGTGTTTTCTTGAAACTTCTGCCTATGTTGTTGTTGTTAGGTGCGGTGGAATTGGTTCCGACTCATAGTGACCCTGTACAGGGTTTCCGAGGCTGTAAATCTGTACGGGAGCAGAAAGCCTCATCTTTCTCCTGCAGAACTGCTGGTAGTTTCGAACTGCTGACCTTGCGGTTTGCAGCCCAATTCGTAACCACTATGTTACCAGAGCTCCTTTGAGAAACTATATATTTCCTAGAAAAAGGCCTCTAGGCATCACTCCTAAACCTAGTTTATAGCAGATTTAATATAGTATCACTGAACTAAGGGTACCTAAAGATGAAATGTGTGCCCCAAGATGATTTAAATCATGAGTATGCAATGAAAACTTATGTTGTATAATGAACGGGGGGAGTCACAATAATAATTCATTTGTTTTGAGCATGACTGTTGTTAAGTGCTGTCAAGTCAGTTCCACCTCATAGCAGCCCTATATCAACAGGGTTTCTGAGGAGGCTCTGCTGGGTTTGAACTGCCAGCCTTACAGTTGGCAATCCACTACTTATCCTACAGCTCCATACCAGTACCAGCATCTGTGATCATTTCTGCTTTTTAAGTGCAAAGAGCTCTACAAATCACTTTCTATTTATTAATCCATTTAATTCATAAACAACTCCATTGTTGTTAAAGTACCATGCAGTTGGTTCCAACTCAGCGACCCCGTATAGGGTTTCTGAGGATTCTGAAATCTTTGCGGGAGCAGAAAGTCTCATTTCTCCTGCAGAGAAACTGGCCTCATCTTTCTCCCACGGAAAAGCTGGTGGGATTGAACCACCAACCTTGTGGTTTGCAGTCCTGTGCCTATCCTACAGAGCCACTATGCTTCCCAACAATCCCATCGTTGTTGTTAAGTGCCGTCGAGACGGTTCCGAATCATAGTGACCCTATATAGGGTTTCCGAGGAGTAGCAGGTGAGTTTGAACTGCTGACCTTGTGGTTTGCAGTCCAGTGCGGATCCTACAGCACCACACCAGAAAACAATTCCATTAGATAAGCATTATTACCGTCTTCATTTTAGTAATGAAAAAAAAAAAAAAATGAGGCACAGATGTTAAGCAATTTCCCCACTATCACACAACTAGTGAGTGGCAGAGTATGGAGACTTGAATCCTGCTTTCTCTGACTCCAAAGCCTCTGTGCTTTCATTCACTATCTAGCAAGGCTCTATTTGCACGTGTCACCAACCAGCAGCTAGGGAAAAGACAGGAGTACTGTACAATGTGTGGAAATAGCTAATGAAGATTTCAAAATGCAGGGCATGTGTTACCTTGTCTGAGTCCTGAATTATTTTCACATTCTCTGTTCCAAATTTTTCACCATAAAGTTTCACAAGCCTCAGGGAAATCTCCGCGAGGCTGGTAAGCTTCGGTTCTTTGTAGATATACTCCTTTCCATCTTCTTCTTCAAAAAAGGACTATTGTGAAGTTCAACATATGAGAGTTTTTAAAGAATAGGAACACACCAGCATTACTCCAAAAACTAGCAACGAGTTTGAAACAGACTTTACTTTTTTATTATGTTTTCTTAAAAGGATATATACATATATTTTAATTATTATTCAAGTGACTGCAAATAGGAAACCAGGTAGGCTAAAATCTGATTTGAAAAAACAAAATATGATTAAAATCCACATGCATATATTCACCCTGTTAGCTTCAAATCAATGAGAATTTTCAAATTCATTTGCTTGCAGATCTCTGATAGTTACTTGTTTTTTTCATTAAAAGCTCAGGGTACTTGATACTAAATACATAATTTCACAGGCTTAAGGGGAAAATCCACATCTTTTATGTTGTACTCTGACCTAATGGATTTAGGCATGGGAACCCAAGTTAACATTTGCCAAACAAGCTACCTGCTGTGGTGAAAGGCAATCTTCCTAGCTAGAAACCTGCAACCAATAACTGCTGTGATACTAATCTAATAATTCAAATGTGAATATGCACAGTGAAAAAACAACTTTATGAGCTAATGCATACTTACTTGGCCATAAAAGGCAACTCTGAAGAAAGTACCCAAAAGTCTTTTTTTGGTGTGCATAACCTCCAGGATTTTTGTGTAAGCTCCATGAAGAGTTCTGTAGATTTGAGTAAGTTTCTGAAAAATGAGAACACTCAAAATTAGTCTTATCTTTTGGATAATTACTAAATGTCTTAAAAATGAATACATGAGAAAATAAACCAGACCAACAAATAATTCCTTTGCAAGGTCATTTTTGTGGGGCCACTCCTTGTACCCCCTCTATCCCTTTGTCACCATTAGACAGAAGCCCTTAACCACTTTAGGTCTCAGGGTAGAGTTTAGAATGACCGACTAACACTGCCCTCTTCAATGCCAAACTTCTTTGATTCATCTTAGTAGCAATTTATCCCTTTAAAATATCCAACTATCATTCACTACTCTTTCCTCTGTGCCAGATTTAGTTTCACTAAAAGAAAAATAAAACGCTTTGTTTGAGTCTTCAGGTGGATAGACACGAGAAGAGACAATCTGTGCAAAAACTTTTGGAGATTAAGATAAAAAACAGCCACAAAATTAAATACATCTCAACAAGGACTGCTTTGACACAAGTTCATGGTCATTTTCCAAGAAGATGAGGCTTCAAAAAATTCGTGGAAAAGTTCCATTGTCTCTCAATTCCATTTTTTTCCCATGAACTTTTTGAAGTCCCTGTGTATATCTTTCTGTGTACCCAGAGAAGGGTGAGCACAGAAGCAGAAGTTCTTTCTCTAAATCCCTTCCATATGATCTCCTGCAGTTGAGTTGAAGTCTGAGGGAACCTTCCCTTACTCTTCTGGCTGCTATCTCTGATACGTTTCCATCCATCCCATAGGGATACACAGAAAATTATCCATCCATGCTCTAGAGCAATTGCTTCACTTCAAATAGAATGCCAGGCAATCTACACACACCCGTATACTCTGGCAAGGAAATAAGAAATACCATTTCCTTCAATGTACAGAGAAGATAGAGTTTTTGTCCTTCTCTACCATTGGTTGGTTCAGTAGTAAAACACTCTCTGAGGTTCTAACAGTCAGATCTTCAACCTATGAGTCAGAAAAATAGGTTTTCTTTCTTTTGAAACTTCTACAAAGTTTCTTAGGTTGTAATCCTTGAATAGAAGAATGATGATTCTTGGCAAAGAATGGCCTATGAGACAATACATCTATATGAAGGAACTTCAAAAAGTTCATGGAAAAAATGGAATTAAAAGATACTGGCGTTTTACCGCACACATTTTGAAGCCCTTTCGTCTGATCTAGGTGCTATTATTGAACACACTCACTTGAACTCCACTACAATATTTCAGACATGCTCTAAAAGTGTGGCAGAGAGAGGAAGACACAGACCTGGGGAGAAAAAGTAAGTTTGCTCCAGGATTTCAATCTGGTTTGAACCAGTTAGTCATGGCTGATCCACTGAAATTGGAACAGACTGAAATTCTGACCATTGGGGTGAAATGGAACAGTAACCAGAATGGGGGGATCCCAGGTCAAAGTCCTGGAATGGGACTCTCAGGAGAGGGCAAGTGAGTCCTTTCAGGAGCCTGATGTGGGAGACTGGATTATGGCCTGGACTGTGGTGAGCATTCCAAGTGGACCAGTCAGTCATGTCTGCCATCAAGAGATTTGGTTGCTGTGCAATAAGCATGCTGACCTTGCTTTCCAAGAGGGAGATTACGTTTCTAGCAGGGCACTGACCCAGACTTTTCTCTATTCCAGTATGCACACAGTTTCCAAATTTGGATCTGTTATGGTGTTGCTCCATTGGCCATGACTGAACTGAGAAGAACAAGTTCAAAGGCCTGGTTTGATCAGAAGCAGCATAGAGCCGAGATTAGAACACTACCCAGATAATATTAAGTGTATGTGTTTTCAATTTTGGGGACTTCTTTAACAACAAAAGTTTGCCTTTATATTTAAGGACAAATTCTTAGACTTTTAAAAAATGCCTTGAACCCTAAATTACACCTTCCAAGCATAGCAGAGGGAAAAAAATAATATTATGTACCTAGAGATTTGAGTATATAAAAATTTGTTTGATGCTGAGGGCAAGAGCTCTTCAGAATGCTATTACTCTTCATTACTACCCTTTATCAAGTTTCATCAGTGGGCTCAAGCATGGCAACAATTGTGAGGTTGGCCCAGGATTGGGCAGTGTTTCATTCTGTTGTGCATAGGGTCGCTATGAGTCGGTACTGACTCGATTGGCACCTAACAACAGTATCCAGTTTTATCTAGGAGCTCTGATAGCCTAGTGGGTTATGAATTGGGCTGCTAAGAACAAGGTCACCAGTTGGAATCTACCGGTCTCTCTGAGGGAGAAACCTGAGGCTTTCTACTCCTGTTAAGATTTACTGCCTTGGAAAACCCATAACCACGCCCACTAGCTTCAAGTTTTATCCGGCAGGCCAACATTGAGAAAACGTTTCACAATAGGGCTACTTACTACAAGCATCTTACTACCTCCCACTGTCAACGTCTTTAATCTCCCCAAAGAATTACAGAGGTTAGTTAGAATCATGTCTATGGCTCTTTCCTGGGCAACATGCAAATTCTACAGCTTTTATGTTTGTTTGTTTGTTTTTGCAAAGACAATTCTGATGTTTTGTGCACTCTTAGGAGAAGAGGGCAAGTTCCTGTATGAAAATATTTTGAGAACAACTGGTTTTTATGGATTCAATTGGTGTCTCCTGAAAATATTTGTTGTAAGTCCTCACCTCTATGCCTGTGGTCCAAATGCTATTTGGGAAGGGGCTTTGTTATGTACATGACCCAGGATTCCTGTGAGGTGTGTCTTGTCTCCTTTGAGATATTGTTATCAAGTCTATTCTGACCCATAGGGACCATGTATAGGGTTTCTAAGGAGCCACTGGGGAGTTTGAACCACAGACTTATCTTTATCCTACACCATCACACCAGGACTCTTCCTTTGAGGTGGTGGTGGCGGTTGTGTACCACCAAGTCAGTTTCAACTCATAGCGAAATCTTTTTAGAAGCAGAAAGTCTCCTTTCTCCTGCGAAGCAACTGATAGATTCAAACTGCTGGCCCTGCGGTTACCAGACAAGCTCATAATCGACTATGCTACCAAGAGCTCCTTTCTTTGAGATATTGTTTTTGTTGTTAAGTACTGTTGAGTTGGTTCTGACTCATAGTGGCCCTGTGTAGGGT